GTTTTAGAAATAAACAGAAAAATTTCTTTCATGATTCAAGAGAATGTGTATATGAGATGAAACTGGGGGATGAGGGGAGACTACACCAGGCTAAAGGAATGATCCTTGGGCCCCATCAGTCACCACATTTTAAATGAACAGATAGCAATTTGACTCTGCTGATTGTCACCAGAGTAAAGTTAAGCCATGATTAATCTACAGAAAATATTTGAAAAAGGATGGCCATGAATGTTAGTAGAACCAGAGCCAACTTAAAAACAAAACACAAAACCTATGGTCAAACCCATTTCTTTTCATGCCACTATGTAGGAACCTCAAACTAATCTTTCCATTACTATGATGTTTGCAGCACACATGGGATTTATTTCATTTATCCTGACAACAACCGTGTGAGATAGGTTATGCTGGGAGACAGCAACTAGTCCGAAGTCATCTAGTGACTAAGTAGCAATTTGAAGCTGGATGGACCATGTTTAGTCCAAGTCTTGAGAACTGACTACTTAACTACACCATGCTGTCTCCATGACACAAATGTTAATATTAGGGCTATCGTGTTTTCTTCTGGCAATGGTCTTTATGAGACTGCAGCTTTATCCGGGGGGGGGGGTTGGTGGTGTCCAGTTATAAGAAAGTGTCCCTGTTGAACTTCTTCCCGCTATGCAATCATAAGGAGCACAGAGCCTTCATCAGAGGAGCAATGGAAACCAGGGGGTCAAAACAGACAAGACGCTGAGAAGTCACTGGTAGGATCTTTCCTGCTTTTTTTTTTTTAAACAAAAGTACATTTCATCACAGATCAGATCAGGACTGCAAGGGGAGGGGAGAAAATGTTTAACACTTCCACCCTTGCATCCAATCCTCCCCCCTCCCCGCTAGGGAATAAAGGCAGACAAAAGATGGGAGAGCCACCTTATCCCCCCTTCCAGGCTTAATTGCAACGTGGGAAGAGTGGTCTTCATAGGCAAAACTGTGCAAGGGTTGAAGGATTAAACCTTCCCTACATGGTGACCGGGGCAGCACAAGGATGCAATTTACCTTTGAAAGACAGTGGGAGAGTCATGAGCCATGTCTCATCTAGTTTGAACCAAAGCCCTACAGTTTCAAAGCTTTCAGGCTAAGGGGTGCCAGCTGTCCCTCTTCAAGAGTTTCTCCCCAGCCCCCACAGCCCCACACAACAGAGCGATCATCACTTATTTCAGAACAGGACCACCTGACAGAATAGAAATCAAGTCTCCAAGTCCACATTTGGAAATAAATTATGTCAGTACCAGGGTACATCGCTACGAGTGTCCCTTTTGGAACAAACCCTCTGGTCACAAAGACTCCTGTTCCAGCAGAAACGAGTGAACTGCGCCTTCGAGCAATGCTGAATCCTAATGTGTTAAACAGAACATCTTCTGCATGAAAGGTAATCTGGCTCCGCTGATTGTCACCAATCGCTGTGGATGTCTCAGGCTGGGCATTCGGTACTTCCAGATATTTAGACCGAACTTCTGGGAGTAAACTTAGAAGAGGCATTTGCCTAGCCATGTCATTTACAAACAAAGATTTAAAGGTTTTCAAGAGTGTCTGAAGGACATTTTCGTCGGAAATGGTTTTGTCTTTAGATTCTTCTGGTACGAAGCGTAGAGTCCTGCAAACAGAGAGGGGGAAAGGGGTCCTATAAGTACAGGGTGTGAAATAACTTGACAGGTGGCAACTATAAACACTTTATTGCTTTTTCATATTGGTTTTATTAACAAGATAAAATAAAAAAAGTGGGAGGGAAGGCGGCATGGCATTTATTTATTTATATTTGAATTTATATCCCGCCCTACCCCGAAGGATCAGGGCGGCTAACAAGGTATAGACCAATCTTGTCAGACCTTGGAAGCTAAACGAGGCCAGTACTTGGAAGGGAGTCCACCAAGGAAGACCTTGCAGAGGCAATGGCAATGGCAAACCACCTCTGCTTCTCACTTGCCTTGAAAGCCCCTTGCTGGGGTCACCATAAATCACCTATGACTTGATAGCACTTTACACATATGTATAAATAAAAAAACACATAGGTAGCAAATTAAAAACAACGTGACCCCAAAACAATAGCCAATCACGCACTAAAGGAGATGTCTGAGTATACAGAAAGGTTTTCACTTAGTGCCTAAATTTAGCAAGTGGAATGCCAGTCATAAGAACATAAGAACATAAGAGATGCCAATGTTGGATCAGGCCAAAGGCCCATCCAGTCCAACACTCTGTATCACACAGTGGCCAGAAATACCAGGTGCCATCAGGAGGTCCACCAGTGGGGCCAGGACATTAGAAGCCCTCCCACGGTTGACCCCCCCAAGCACCAAGATGACAGAGCATCACTTGCTCCAGAGTCCCTATCTATACCTTGTGGCTAATAGCCACTGATGGACCTAACAGTGGGGAGAGATGTCTACAAGCAAGGTGCCATTACTAAGAAGGCCTTGTCCGTGACGACCATCCATTCACCCCAGTGAACAAAAACACTCATCACAGGGATTCTGAAGCAGGTCCATATTGGAGATGATGGCCTTCACGGTACTTTAGACCATTTAGGCTTAAAAAAAGGAAAGCATCATAACTTTGAAATGTGCTTGGAAACAAATGGGAAGCCAATGAAACCCTTTGAAAACTGGCAAGTATGTTCCTATCCAAATGAAGAAGTTAGCTGCCTTGCAGCAGCATTCTACATAGCTGAAGTTTCCAGACAGTTTTCAAGTGCAGCCCCATGAAAAGCATATTGCAGTAGTCAAGCCTGGAATGTCATTAGAGTATGCCCCAACCATGGACCTCATTTTTCCAAGAAAGGACATAGCTGATGATCCAACCAAAGTTTCTGAAAGAGACTAAATATCTGATGGATCCTGAATGTCCATTTGCAGTGATGGACACAACAGCAGTCCCAAAGTGCAAACCTGGCCTTTTGAAAGGGATGCTACCCCACCTGTGGCAGGCTGACCCCTTGTCCCTTAGCTGGAACCACTGCTTAACAGTATGTTAGACCTGTCTAGACTGACCCTCATGCAGCCTATTGCCAATCCAAATACCTCTTCTGAACATCCATGACCTCAGCTACAAAGGAGAAATGGACTTGCATGCCATCACCATGCCAATGACACTTAACTCCAAATCTCTGCACAACTTTTCCCAGTGGGTTTATGTAGATGCTGCACAATATGATCAAGATTGGGAAATACCTGGAGATTTTGGGGGTGAGGCCTGAGGAGGGTGGGGTTTAGGGAGGGAAGGGACTTCAATGGGGTATAATGCTATACAGTCCACCCTCCAAAGCAGGCGCTTTCTCCAGGTGAACTATCCTCTGTTGCCTGGAGATCAGTTGTAGTCCCAGGAGATCTCCAGCTACCACCTGGAGGTTGGCAACGCTAAGTCAAGAAGACAGGACTCTGCAGTACTCGATAGCACAAATGCCGTGATCAAGTAACATGTCCACAGTCACACCTTCTGGTACCAGTTCAGCAAGACTGGAAGAAAAGGACACTGCCCTCAACACTCACTCTAGCCAAACAGTCTGGAAGGATGCCAGAGTCAGCATCCAGGAAACCCAGCAAGGGCACAGTGTCTTTGTCTCTCCCTCCCAGGTGGGAGACCCAGGTTTGAATTCCCACCCTGCCATGGATGTTTGCTGAGTGACCTTAGGCCTGTCATGCATTCTTAGCCTAACCTACCTCAGGAGGGTTTTGTTGTTTTTTTAAGGTAAAATGGAAGAAAATGATGCAAGGTGCTCTGGGTTCCCACTGGGGAGAAAAGAGGGGTATAAATGAAATAAAACAAACTCAAGAACAAAGGCAGATTCAGTCACAAAACAATACTGAGAGCTGAAAAGGACCTAAATGATCCATTTCCTCCAAACAAGGAAGTTCGCACTCACTTGAGCGCCTTACTAAAAACAGCAAACATTTGCAACTGGCCAGTAGTTGTTATTATCTGGGTCCAAGGAGTAATTCTTCAAGAACAGGTCTCATAATCACCTCCTTCAAGGTGGTTGGAAAGGCATTCCTCTTCCTATAAAATATGCTTACATTTCTGAATAAATATGCCAATTATCCAGTGAATTTCTGTGCAGATTCTGAAACAATCTGAAAACTAAAGTAGCATTATTTTGCCTCTCATCCAGTTGCCACGTTCGTCCCCGACGGGCAGGATTGGCAGAGCAGAAAAGCCAATGATCTACCTCTATGGGGTGCACGCATGGCTCAATTTGTTTCCTTCACGGCAGAAAAGAAAGATTAGAATCCACAGGTTGTCCCCCACACCTCTTCTAAGAAGATGTACAAAAGTAAGAATTAAAAACTACATAAAAACACACTCTCTGAATTGATTCTGGTAATGAGTAGGGATCAATAGGATTTTCCTTTCCTACATTAAGACAGCAAGCGTACACATATTACCGGAGAATAAATGATCTCCGAGTGAATATAAGGCTGTGATTCATTAGGAGAACTGTGCTGAGATCACTAAACCACAAGTATTCGGCTTGAGATATTTATTAGTTCCACCAGAGAGCCAGGAATCAATTTGAACTTGTATTCACTCCAGGGCATCTGTTTGTTATTACAGAAATTAGAGACGGAAAAAGACCAATTAGGCTTCCTAATCCACACTGCACCCAGTGTAAGAAACTGCCCCCTATACAATGCATTCACAAATACTTCCTTTCTAGTTCTAATGGTTCACTTCCCTTGAGAAACTATTCCATACTCTTTTTGAAGGGGAGTGTCATCATCCATCATATTTATGGGGGGCTTGAGGGCGCCATGGGGGTACAACCAGAATTCATATAGACAGAATGGTTGGTAGATAGCATTATAAACAAGAAATGTTTGCCTCAGTGGGAAAATAGCTCCTTGACAAATTAAGGTTTGCCAGTTCAGTTGCTAGAAACTGACACCAGCTCTTCATATTATGGCATGTCACTAAAATAAGCTAGGAGGACAGAACCATTGTTTGAACTGTCCATGACCCATGACTGAAACCTTTTCTTTGCTGATTTTGCTAAAACTTTTATTGGGATTTGGTTAAGTATTTCTTCCTGGGAGTTACATGTTAGCACGTATTGCCCCAATTCTGGCAATATGAAAGACTGCCTCTTCCCATATGCTTCACTCCGCTTTTCAAGCCCTGCTCTCTGAGCCCCCAACAGCAGAGAGAAGGTGGCCAGAGACCAGAACCAGGGCTTTAGCAGTAGTGTCACCTTCTTTTGGAAATGCCCTTCTTTTAAGGCTTGCCTGCCACTGACTTTCCTCTAAGTTTCAGGCCAAAACATTTATCTTTACCCACCAGGGGTCATTTCCTGCGGGAGCACACAGGAGCTCCGGCAGGAAGGAGCCCAGGGGGCAGGCACATGCAACAAGCCCCGCCCCCTGCTCCCAGCAGCCCTCAGTTGGGCTACGAGGAGCAAGAAGCAGCCAGGTAAGTTGCAGAGGGCCCCCCCCAGGCCCGCCTTCGGGTACAAGCTCTCCCTCCTCTGCGTGGACAGATCTGCACAGCCCCCCCCCCAAATAGTTAGCAATCCAAAACAGTCCAGTGGAGCCTGAGCGGTGGGTGTTGCCTTCTGACACACTTCCAGTGATGTCAGGGGGTGTGGCATAAGCAAACAGGTTATGCTGATGAGTTATGCTAATGAGCTCCTGCACCTCTTTTTCTACGAAATGACCCCTGTTACCCACTTAAGGTCTGTTTCACTAAAGGCATCATCTTTTTTTAAAGCTGTTTCATGGTCTGCTCTGAGCTTGACAACGGTTTTGTCATTTTAGAGATCTCTGTTATTTTTATGTTCTGCTATATGTTTACTGGCAGTTTTTATTGACTTGGATGACTTTATTGATATTTTTTATTAGTATGATTTGCTTGTACTATCCATTTCCAAGTTGTTGTTTTTATTCTCAGAGCCACCACAAGCTAGCCTGGAAAGGTGCCAGACGAATTTTCTAAATAAATAAATTACAAAACAGAACTGTGTAAGGAACATTCATCAGCTGATTAGAATAAACTGGCATGGCCTACTCCTGTCCCTTTACAGTAGCCTGATCTACAGAAACAAGCTGCTGAATCCTTTCATGGTTTGGTCATAATGATTATCGCTAGGCTTGGGCACAGACCCGAACCTGAGCCAAAGTCCAGGCCAGACTTTTTCTCGGTTCAGAGTTCGCAGAGAAAGCCGAGGTTCAGGGAAGGCGCCTTTCACCCAAACACTCGCTGAGCTTTTCAGCTCTGTTCGGCTCGCATCTTCTGTCTGACACATGCACACCTCTTCCGGGAGGCATCAGTCTCCTTCCCAGCATGCCCGCATCATCTGGAAGTGACACAAGCACATCGTAATGCGGGTGCGCCGGAGGTGAGGCCTGAACCACCCAGAAGTGATGTAAGCACATTGGGGGGCTGACGTACTTGTGTTACTTCCAGATGATGCAGGGCCCTGACACCACCCAAACCGGTTCAGTTTGGGTGGCTTTTTTGCTTAGAGGTTCATGAGCCATGGACCAAACTGGGCTTTCCCAGTCTGTGTCCATCCCTTATTATCACTACCAAGTTGCTGTACAAGATGCCTGGGGCCAGTAAAAATGTTGGCAACTCCCCTCTCCATAAGACTACTCGCCATCACCCTGAAAGTTTTCACCCAAAATTACTAGTACACGGTTGAAGCACTGAGAGGCACATGTTCACTTGATCCCTGCACTTCCTAGCCCCTTTTTTTTGGGTGGGGGGAGAAAAAGAAATCAATTGGATTTATCTGATCTGCTGGCTTTGAGTAAGACCCTGAAGAAAGTGGTGAATGTAAAAAGAGCCCTGCTGGATCAAACCAGTGGCCCATCTAGTCCAGCATCCTTTTTCACACAGCAGCCAACCAGTTACCCTGGAGGGCCAATGAACAGGACATAAAGGCCAAGACCTTGCCCGATGTTGTCTCCTAGCACAGGTATTCGGGGTTTGCTGCCTCTGTATATATTCTTATCCAAAGAGTCAGAGTAAATAATATAAATGTATGACTTCTCAATTCCATGGATTTCTGGATTAAACTCTCTAGATCTTGTTCAATCTGGCTTTTGCCGTTTTGCGTAAAAACTGCTTTGATTTACCTGATGGATAATATTACACAACCTCATAGGAATGGGCCTTAATGGTGTTGTATCACAGTGGTTTTTCTCAGAAAACAGTCCTTCAACGCTAGGTTCCAGAAGGTGGTGCTGTGGAGCTTCTGTCCTGCCTCTTGACCACTGGCTTGAAGGGTTCTAAAAAGCTCCAAGTTGTCTACCAGACATTTGAACTACACAAACCCATTGGGAAAGGTCATCCAGAGATCTGGATTGAGTCGTCACCAATATGCACATGACAGTAGCTCTAGCTCTCCTTTCTGTCTGAATCTGAAGCATGCATAGTACACTGTTCTGCACACACTCCACTGGTTGCCCACCAGTTATCAGGTTCCATTCTAGGTAGTAGTTGTCACATACAAAGCCCTTCATGGCCTTGGACCCTTATATCTACAGGACTGTCTCTCCTGCTATGCTCCACCATGACAACTTCGATCATCTGAGCAGGGCTGTCTACAGTGCCATGCTGCAAATGGGCAAGATAACAACTGCTCATGTATGCGCATTTTGTGGGTGGAGAGAAGGAAGCAGGAAAGGAGGAGAGACCATCGGGGATTTCAGGGAAGGAAGGAGAAAATAGTGGGGGAGAGAAAAAATGACATGCTCCTCACAAGTCTCTTGCTTGTGTATTATCCTACTTCCACGCCTTTGTTTTTATACTCCTGTGATACCATTTTCTGCATTAACATATGTGTGATTCTCTATGCTTTGTTTCAGATTGCTGCTAGATTCAAGTCCAGTAGCACCTTAGAGACCAGCAAGATTTTGGGGGCATGAGCTTTCAAGGGTCAAAGCTCCCTTCATCTGATACAAGTTGGAATGGAGATCTCGTAGTCTTTATATTCTAATCAGAAGGTGACAGGGGAGTTGCAAAGAAGGAACTTGGGATGCAGAGGTACAATGTGCATAGTAACCAGCTTTGGGATATAAGGACTCAGGGATCTCCACTTCTACCTGTATCTTTCAGATTGCTGTAACCCTAATCCTATTACACAGTTTATTAAATGACTCATCCTATTGACTGCACTCTGATTTACACTGTGCAATCCATCTTGAATTTCAGTAAGGCAGACTATAAACAAAGCAAATAAAAATAAATAAATAAACCAGTGTCTGGAGATCACAAGGTACTGCATGAAAGTGAGCAAACTGAAGTTTAATCCAGAAAAATGCTATGGACTGGGAATAAAATTGAACCAGGCATAGTTGCTCAGCCTGCTCTGAATGGTGTTGTAGTCCTCTGAAGGAAGACGCTTGCAGTCCAAGAGGGCTCTTCAATGTCTCTCTTAATCTGGAATGTTCAGGTGACAAAGGTGGGTGGGAATGCACTTTAGCAATTTAGCCTGGTTAGCCAGCTGCAGGTGAGCCTGGGAAAGATAAATGTAGGCTGTTCCCACACATATTTTGCTTCAACTTGGCTTCCTAACAGCAGGGCTATATATTACCAATTCTTCCCTCTTGTGGCAGGGGAGAAAAGGCAACCATGAGGCAAGGAAAGGGGATGTGGATGTTTTTATGGGTGCTCTGCTGCATCTGCATTCCCAACTGCAAGGAGAGCTACAGTGAATCACTTCCCTGTGGAAACAGAAGCAAAAAGGCATGCCTTATACTAAGGTTTTTGGTTCAATCCCTGCCATCTCCATTTAAAGGATCAAGAACTGGGAAAGCCCTCTCTCTCCCACAAGACTGTGAAAAGCAGCTGTCAGTCAGAGCGCTAGACAAGATAATAATGCTAGGAAAAGTCGAGGGCAGCAGGAAAAGAGGGAGACCCAGCATGAGATGGATTGACACAATGAAAGAAGCCCCGGTCCTCAGTTTGCAAGACCGGAGAGAGAATGGCTACTAACGACAGAACGTTTTGAAGAACGTGTGAATCCACAGGGTGGCCAGTAGTCGGAAGCGACTGGACGGCACTTAATACATAGAGAGCAGACAACACCGAGCTAGATGATCAACAATCGGATTCTGCATAAGGCTAGAGAAGACCGACAAGCTCGTTTTTGCTCTCAGAACGGTGGAAACCAGGACAAGTCTGCTGTGTTTCGCAAAGGAAGGGTTAGTAGCAAGTATTCCCGAGGACGACCGGGCTCACCCCTCCCGCGCGCGCGTCTTCACCTGCGCTTGTGGCGGAGATTGAGCGCGATCCAGGGCACGAAGCGGTATTTGTAGGACTCCCAGCGCCTCCGCAGGGCTCTCAGCAGCATGGCGAAGAGCTCCCCACAGAAACGAAGTTCGCAGACAGGAAGAAGGGCAAGCCAGAGCGGCCGCCTTTGCAGCTCCTCCCCGGGCGCCTTACAGGGCAGGCGGGGGCATGAAGAGTCCCTCTCCTACCTCACCAGTTCATCCCTAGGCTGGGACTGAAGGGAGAGGCCTCTGAGTGCTTAGCCTCCTCATGCCCACCTTGTTGAGAGAGACACGAGGCTAACGGCCAAGGGGTTCCTTCCTAAAAACACGCGGAAGCTCGGAGAGCAACAGAGGGAGCGGCAGCGGCCTGTCCTTTGCAGGACGAGACTTCCCCTCTCTCTGCTAGAGGGACTCGAGGTCGCGAAGAGGAACGCGGCGGTGGAACCAAAGTGTCTTCGGCAGAATTTGCCGCGGGGACCATTTCGAGGGAGGACGGCGACGGAACGGAAGCTCCGGCCTCTATTCCAAGTCGAGTCCTCTTGATAGCCCCGCCGGGAGAGGCTGTGACTGTGGGGGAAGCCGCTGCGACGGGGGAGAGTGGGTGCCCTTGTAGGAAACCCCGCAATGAACGAAAGTCGCCTCCGGAATTTCCTTTCCCGCCGTCAGTTATCGAAGCCGCCATAGCAGCAGTGCCGGATTTACGCATAAGCTAAATAAGCTACAGTTTAGGGCCTCGTAATCTGCTGGGGCCTCAAATAAAAACACAATATAAAAAATATTTCAAATATTAAAAAGGCGTATATATATATTTTTTTTTTGAGACCAGTAGGGGCCTCTGGGTTTTGTATAGCTTAGGGCCTCAGCAAGTCTAAATCCGGCCCGGCATAGCAGCCTCCAATGCCTGAGGAGCTTTGTCAAATGATTCTGCTGGATGCGTAAACTGCCCTTATTGGAGGCAGTGCTCCCTCTAAGCTGAGTTAGTGTGAGCTAGCTCACAGTTTTTTAGCCTCCGGCTCATACATTTTTGTCTTGGCTCAGGGAGGATGGTTCTAGCAAAGTAGTTTATGCAGTAGCCAAATCGCTCGCTCGCAACTTTAATGCCAGTAGCTCACAGAGTAGAATTTTTGCTCACAAGATACCACAGTTTAGAGGGAGCATTGATTGGAGGTGCCAGCTTTCAAAGACAATTGTCTGGAACAAGGGGACAGTTGTAGCCTTCCTATAATAAGGTTGCATCAGAGGTTCTCAAAACTGTGAATTTGTGTCTGCAGAGATCGCATGCCTCTTCTTTACAACAAAAATATTATAAAATAAATGTACAGAGTTGAGAGACCTTAGTCCTATTGGTCCTCTGCAAACCTATGCACACAGAATCAACTCCTTATCTCTTAAGTGCTAAGTTTCAAAAAGTTCAATGAATATAAGATTGTTTGGGGTGGAATAGGTCTGGATAAGGAGGAGATGTTGAGAGCTAAGCTGAGGAGGGAGGAGCAGGCAGTACAAATGAAAGTGAAACTTTGAGCAGAATGCTCCACAGATGTTGAGATCTTTGTGTGTGTATCCTCATGGATGTTTAGGCAAATTCAAGAATACATATGCTATGTAATGTTATTATTTTAGTTAAATAAACCAATTTAAATGGTTATTATTAATAATTATTTTTCTCCTTTAACTAAAGTACAGCAGAAAAGTTGTACAAATATGAATGATTAACCTATTAAACCAGAGACAGTTCACCTTGCAATGATTTCATAATTATCTTTTTCAAGTGGTAAATAACCAATCATTAATTTTCGGATATAACTTAAACTAACCTGAAAAGTTATTATACTAAAATGAAACCTTCAACTGGGTTGTAAATATTAAGGTCAGCAAGAATGAGTCTTTGCGTAGAAAACCACTATTTAAATCAAGTCTTAGTAACTAGTGATTTAAATTAAATCACAATTTAAATCAATTTGATTTAAATCAAATCCACCCTGACTGGAACATCTTGCAGATATGCCAGTCTAGCGCTGTGTTGACTCCCTGACCACTTTGCTGCCCCCCACCCCGGTATTGTGCTGCTATTCTCATTACAGCATTGTTTTGTTGTTGATGAGTTTTTGATTGCAAACTTCCTAATTCTTAGCACTGCCTTGTAAAGTTTTTATCTGCATCAACAGAAATAAATATCACTCCTCTGGTAAAGTTGGTGACAGACTTGGATTTGAGATTCAGCATCAGGAAGCTAAAGCTAAACAGTTCGGTTTCCATTGTGCAAACAGTATAAGCAGGGAACTGGCGGATCAACAGTGGGCTCGTTGCATTTGCTTTGTGGTGGGGCATGGGTGATAAATATAAAACTAGTAAACGTAAAGGTTTCCCTTGCTCGAAAGCCAGTCAAATCCAACTCCAGGGTGCGGTGCTCATCTCCGTTTCCAAGCCAAAAAGCCAGCGCTGTCCAAAGACGTTTCCATGGTCATGTGGCTGGCGTGACTAGAGACGGGAGTTCACTCCATCATGCAGCATTCGGGTCTCGAACTGCTGAACTACCGACCTTCCAGTCTGCAGTTCAGCGTCTTAACCACTGAGTCACCACAGCCCCTCTAAATATAAAACTAGTATCCCTTAAAAACTTCCCATAGTCCAACATATCCCTAGCAGTGTTTGCAGAAGTATTTCCACTCCTGCCAAACAAATTATAGAGCTCTTGAAATAAAACTCTGTACTCCCAAATATGAGGGGGGGGGGACTTCATGGGTTAAAGTTCTAGTGCAGTTAGAAAACGGGTCATGTCATCAATTGTCAAAAATAGATTAAAATAACAGTAAAACAATGACCACATAAGTTAAGCTGTGAAGCCAGAATGTCATCATCTGGAATGTCTTTAAGCATTCCATCCCCCCCCCCCCCTCCCCAGGACATTTGAATGTTGTCACAAGAACTTATGGTGAACCATTTTTAGCTGTGTTACCTCATCGAAAGGCATCCTCCAGGTTCTTCATGTTAAACATATTCTTTACTGTTTTGTTACAGAGAAAACCTATGTTCTTTTTTCTTCTCTTCATTTTTTAAAAAAAGAATACCTTCCTCCATGTGATTTCATTCACTGAACATTTGCAATTACTCTGTGCTTAGATCCCCAACAAAACAGTATAAAATTGTATCATATCTGAATGCAGGCATACAGAATAAAGGATTGATGTATATTGTCACTGAAGACAAGGATTTTAAGGGGTTTCTACAGAGTCAGTGTGCTTTGCTTGGAGAGAGTGGAATGTTCTCACAACCACCAATATTGTAATGCCCCTGGTGTGGCCTCATTTGGAATACTGTGTACAGTTCTGGTCCCCATATCTCCAAAAGGACATTGCAGAGCTGGAAAAAGTACAGAGGAGGGCAACCAAGATGATTAGGGGGTTGGACGACTAAGCAGGGACATGATAGAGGTATATAAAATTATGCAGGGGGTGGAGAGAGTTTCTCCCTCTCCCAAAATACTAGAATGTGAGGGCATCCAATAAAGCTGATGGGCAGTAAACTCAGGATGAAACCAAAGGAAATACTACATTTCCACTTAAAATGTGGAATTCGCTGTTGAAGGATCTGAACACACTAGAAAAGTGGGTAGATGTGAACAAGATGTAATTTAACAAGGATAAGTGCCGAGTTCTACATCTGGGTAGCAAAAATGAGGAACATGCACACTGGATGGGGAATACGCTTCTGAGTAGCAGTGTTTGTGAACAAGATCTTGGGGTATGGGTGGACCGAAATTTAAATATGAGCAGCCAGTGTGATGTGGCAACAAAAAAAGCTAATGCAATCTTGGGGTGTATCAATTGTATTTGCTCCTCTGTGTTTTCCTCATAATTAAGTTAAAACAAATGGTGACCATATAAACTTAGCTTGTTATTTCTGTTTGGTCTTTGCGTCTGTTAAAACATCTTCATTACTCTGCATGCTAATTTATAGTTCACCATCTGCCTATAGGGTGTTAACTTCCATTTCAGTAAGGAAGTTTGCGTGCACACAAAAAGCTCATGTTTTGAATAAAACTTTGTTGATCTTAAAGGTGCCACTAGAGTCAAACTTTGTTCATTTGCTTATGTTATTTTACTACCATCTTTTGGTATTTCCATGTAATGACATGGAAACACCATATTACTTTTCCCAACTGTTAAGAGTGGATGTTTCAATCCCAACATTGGATACAATTTTTTTGTTCGTTTACAAATATTTATTGTCAGAAAAAGGTAACCCAAGAATGGACTTTAAATAAGAACATAAGTAGACCCTGCTGGATCAGATCAGTGGTCCATCTAGTCCAGCATCCTGTTTCACACAGCAGCCAATCAGTTGTCCGGGACAGCTGCCAAACAGGCATAGAGGCCAAGGCCTTTCCCTGATGCTGCTGCTGAACACTAGTGGTCAGAAGCATTTAAAAGCTTTAAAAGCCTCTGCACTAATACGAACGGAGCTATGCACTAGGAATCCGAAAAGGAAGAGGCACTAGAGATTGTATTGCAAATTTACATTAGTTACTGGAGCATACAAGAGAATTTGAGAAGAAAATTGGCTTGCGTTTCATAGATTACAGCAAAGCTTTTGACGGTGTGGATCACAAAAAGCTATGGTTGGTTTTAAAAGAAATGGGTGCGCCGCAGTATCTGATTGTTTTGATGCACAACCTGTACTCTGGACAAAAGGCTACTGTTAGGACAGAATACACAGAACATATCATAAAGGGAGCTGGATTAGATTTAGATGAAGGTGGAGTGAAAACTGGTGGAAGGAACATTAGCAACCTGAGATATGCAAAAAAATAGTGAAGACTTTGAAATGACTGCTGCTGAGGGTTAAAGCAGAAAGTGCCAAAGCAGGATTACAGTTGAAGATTAAGAAGGCAAAAGTGATTACTACTGAGGAATTGCACAGCTTTAAGGCTGACAATGAAGAAACCGGCTCATTCTCCCTCTGAGGAGGAGGACATCTGCATGGGTTATTCCCACCGTGCCAATAGGAAGGCAGGAAGTAGATTCCCCCCCGTGCCAATAGGGAGGCAGGAAGTAGATTCCCCCCCCCCCGTCGGTGCCTTTGGAATATCCCATCTCCAGTTCTGTTCCTGCCTCACTAGGGAGAAGCAGCACAATTTAGCTAGGCTTAGCTAACTTTGAAAGTTTAAAACTCCTAAATACTTTTTCTTCCTTCTAGCCTGCCTTGCCCTTCTTACCTTGTTATACTTTCTTATTCCACTCCTTCTAACTTCTCTCCTTTGCTCCAATCTCGGAGCGAAATTAAACAGGGGTCTGTCGACCTGAAGAGGCCTCACAAACAGCGATGGCCGACAAGGAACTTCCTGAGGAGTTCTCAGGCGACGAGGGAAACGACGCGACTGCCGCAT